TCCTCGCCTCACCTTTTGCTCTTGGAAGTCTTAGGTAAATGATATCTGATGCCATCTTCCTCGCTTAATGCTTAGCGCCCAGTGCTGTGCTTTAATGGATGGTTACTCCAACTCATATGGATCGGAGCATATCACTCTATTAATTACCCGTCTCTCACGGCACAAACTTGACAGTACGCAGGTTTACGAATGATCAATGAAATTTATGTCCAGCTCGCCCAACGTATCCTCTCGAATTGCTATGAGGAGTTCAGTTGAGACGCTCAGCACAGCCATTCCATGGAAGTTTGGAGTCAAGGAGCTTGCGCGATGTCTCAGAGCGTCGGCCACTTCCTCCGACGTCTGACGCAGGCATACCTTAGCTATGTCTTCGCGATCCCGTTTGAGGTAAATTCATGAGCATTCCGCCGCATTCTCAGACTAGTAATTTGTGAAGCAATTATAGAACTTCATGACGAGGGCTCAGGCAGAAAATGGACTCCGTCTGCCGTACACGGCTTTCTAACCATGATGACAGAGGTTTGAACGAGACCTTACGGTAGACTTCTGCTCGATTCTGTCGGTGTTGACTATCCACTCTCATCGTTCCAGCTGGACCTTCCGGCTGCCCTTGGTACGTGGCATTCCTGCCTCACAGACATTGTATCTGGCCGATTTATCCTCTCGCCCCAATCCATGTTTTAGCACTACACATCACTATCGCTAAATCCAGTTACTAACTTTGCATTCGTCTCCGGAACTAGTCCGTCAACTCAGAAAGCGGGGGTACTATATTAGCATCTTCAACGCGAACAGCGAAGAATATGCGCCACATTTTCGTATCGTACATGGATCGCACAGGACATTGTTCTTCACACTGGACGTAGCGACAACGTACCAATTGCTTCAGAGAGCCGCACAGGCCTGCTTTATCTCTTCCACCACGGCTTGAAATCTTCGCGCTCCTTCCTCCTCGAGGATATCACAGTCCCAGCGTTCTCGCGGCGCCGTGTCCGTCTCCAGTTCAGGATCGGCGGCAATCGAGGGGGGCTCCATGGCCCGACCTTGAGGCTTCCTATAGAAGCAGAGCCTGGTCCCGAATGCACTGACGGCGTGGAGAACAGGCAGAGGGCAGTTATCTGTAGAGCCAAAACAGTTATGGCCCCAAACTAGTGAGATGCAGAATTATGACGGACCACACAGATCCCTGATGCGAGATCGAATCTGTCGGTCGGCAGCCTTGCGCATGGAAGGATATCGAAGGTGCCCGGGTGGCTTCAGCTCCAGTATGAAGACCGGTTTATCTTCGAACACGACTTCGAACATGAAAACAAGGTCCGCTGCCTCCCATGGCCCCCGCACGTACTGGAAATCAACCATAAAATCGGTGTCCGGAGGAAAGAGGGTGTACAGGAGCTTGTTGTAGGGACCGTGGAAGTCGGCCTCGGAAGGGTTGGCAGGGACCTTTTCGAATTGGCGGACAACTTTGGCTGGCCAAGGCATAGTGGCGGTTCAAAGATGGTCAGGCTTTCCATGAGGGGAAAGGGGACATGTGGCGTGGCCCCCGTACCTTCCTAAACGAGACAGGGACCTTCCTTATGAGGCAGGTCTGCTCTTCCTCTCTCTGCATGTCAAGAATTCGCAGTCCGCCGCATCTTCCGTGAATGAAGTATATAAGGCGCATATATCGTCCCTTCGCATGGGTTCTTGTTCCTTTTTTGCGAGCTCCCTCGAAAGGCTCCATCAATATGCCAAACGGAGTATCCCCTCTTGGTTAGTCTCATCATCACTTCGGAACACAAACAAGCACATATTGTTGTGCTGATCATCTTGCAGCCTCAGGCGTGCTTGAATTCATTCTTCGGTGGAAAGTACTTAGTGATTTTTGAGCGTTTTGTTGTCCTTTGGTGAGTTGCCTTTGCCTTTTCAATCCATTCAGCACATGCCGAGCAGATGCTGAAGGCTTATCGGGCGTCGTCCAAATTTAGGAGACGCAGCACAGCACCTGTGATCAGCGGGCGATTACATCATCCTTGGTGGAGCCGCAGTGGCCACTGTGGCCAGCATATTTCCCCTCTACCGCATCTATTCTTTCCTCGGTGACGCGTGTGGTTACGTTGCGCGTCCTCCCGTGGTGTTCTTGGCTGGTGACGCACTGCGACACCAGATCTAGCAAGTGGAGTTCATTCAACCTATGACGAAGCACAAACGAGCTGCGATATATATGCTTACGGGCTGCTGCTTTTCCAATGATTTCTACCTATTCTCACGACCTCGATCTCCTTCGCGAACGTCCACTTTTCAGTCTCCACAAATTTTGACCACCAACTACCATCATGTCTCTTCCTCAAGCTTCCAAGGATATCAGTGACCACCCTAAACCCGGTACTGTCACCGAGCCGGTCAATTACGACAAGAAGAAGGCAGACGTCGATCGCAAGTTGCACTTCTACGGAGTCGTTACTGCCCTTCGCGAGTCACGTCTACCCACTAACGACCAGATCGATGCTATGCTCGACTATACTCTCGGTCACTCTCCGGTGGACATTGATGCACTATCACCATCTGGTCGTCAACTCATACTAGACTCGCGCGAGATCGTCGATGGTCTTCGTGCCATTGTACGTCAAAAGAATGCCGATGAGCTTCTTCAGAACTTCGTCTGGCACACCCGTCGAACCGTTACCATTCGCGCGAAGAAGGACCCCAACGAGCTCATCCCTGTCGACCAGAACAAAGTCCAGGCAGATACCGACCAGGCTGCACAACATTTGCGCACCCTCGCTACGCTCGTGCTCACTAATGCTGAAGTTCGCAAGCTTGTCGGCGACTTTGGTGTGGTTGGACGCGATTTACTCGCGAAGAGTGCGGGGAAGGCAGCCGAGCTGGCACGTCCAAATGAGGAGCGCCTTCGCCAGGTCGATCAAGCAGGCCCAGATCAAGTCTTCATCTCTGAGGGCGGTCGCCAAGTAGGACCCGATGAGACTCCCGTGAGTTGAGAACTGTCTCATGACGAATCTAGATCACTGACAAATGTATACAGGTTCCTGAGGTGCCCGTTCCAGCGACCGGCCATCGCATTGCGCAGGACCCAAGGAACAAAGTCGTTCAGGGTACCTCCATCAAGACCGATCAAGGTGATGAGGTCCGCGGGGACGAGGCAGTGTACGAAGCCCAGCACAGGAAGAATGAGGCAGTAGGACGTGCATGCCAGGAGGCATATGCACAGAAGGAAGATATTGAACAAAACATTACGGAAAACGAGGGGGCAGACGTTAGCACGCGCAAGGGCCGTGTAAAGAGTAAAATGGCTGGTATGAGGGTAAGCTTCCCGTCATGCTCAACACAGAAGATTGTCTGACATTGTTGCGTAGGACCACATGTTAGGTCGCGTCCCGCAGGAACACAAGGACAAGGCCAATGAGCACGCAACGCGCGTGAAGAACTTCCTCAGTGACGAGTATTTCCCGCCTGAGCGTCGTGACCAGCTTATTTTCCGTATTAAAAAAGTTATTATCGAGTGCCAGAATCACAAGGATTACCAGGAGAGTATTCGGTGGCTCCTTGACACGGGCGCTGAGTATGTCAGCCATGGACAAACCATCAACGAGCATGGTGAGTAGCAGTCATGCAGAGTGGTGCTGTCGTGCGGTATATTGACTATTTTCTCCTGCAGGAAGGGACTCTCATCGGCAGCTTACCTCTGACAGCAACATTCAGCGCGCAACTTATGAGTTTCGCACGCTATTGGAGCGCTTTGCTAATGGTGTAAGCTTGGATATTGTCGGCGATGCCATGCGTGCGCTCTACCAGGACTCTCAGAACGATGAGGGTCTGCGTCATTGGTTCCATGATGTCAATGAATACGTTCGCGAGGTGAGTTCCTATCAGATTATCGACAAGCAGGGCATATTGCTAGAAATACGTCCATCAGTGCCTAATGTCTCCAGGATACGTCCTTGACGACCAGTGTAACGAGCATGCAAATGAACTACGTGAAGTCGGCCGCGCGTACTACGACAACAAGTACAAGGGCCATTTCGACAACCTCTGGAACAGCCTCGCAGATTGGTTCAGAGGTTGGGCGGATGATCCGCTCAATCGCCGCTTCGGCCAGGATTGGGCACGCCTCACGAAAGACTTGCTGTTTGACAGCGAGGGCAGCCTCAAGTACAAGCCCGAGTTGTGGAAGGACATTCGTAACGTCGTCGTACCGAATCTCGTGGAGAACATTGGTTACATTCCGATCCCGAGGATCGAGTATACGGACGACAGTCTCGATCTCGTTCTGGAGAACCTTGCTTTGAGCGGCAAAAACGTGTTCCCCAACATAATTAGCTTGGACGTGAGGAACTTCATGAAGTTCAGCCCATACAATGTCATTGGGTGAGCACGATTGTGTGTACGGCATTTATTCAATGAGTCGCTAATTTGACGGCTCACAGTGATGAGCAACATCACGAGTTCACGCTCACGTTAGGCCAAATCCAGGCCGACCTGCGCGATGTCGCATTCTACTACCACAAGAAGACTGGCATGCCGAAGATGTCGGATTCTGGTCTCGCCGATCTCCTTCTCGGAGGCACTGGCCTCACCATCACCGCACACCTCGCGACTGCACATGACCCGGCCTCGGTGTTCGCCGTCAAGGACGTGCAAGTAAAGGTCCACACACTCAAATTCGCTGTACGCGACTCGAAGCACGACGTGCTATACAAGACGCTCGCGCCTCTGGCCACTAGCCTCGTCAAAAAGCAGCTACAAAAGGCGCTCGGTGGGGCCGTACGCACGGCGCTCGAGTACCTCGACGGCGAGCTTGTTGCAGTCCGCGACGAGATGCGTGAGGCGAAGGCGGGCGACGGTAGTCGTACCGAGGCGCTCAAGCAACATCTCGCGGCGAAGAAGGATGCAGCTCAGGACAAGACGGAGGAGACGAAGCAGAAAACGGGACAGTTCAAGGTCGTCGCGCAGCCAGGCAATGAGCTCTTGCCCGACAAGGGACACTCTGATGGCTGGATTAAGCGTGCCGCAGAGCGCGTTGGTGCCGCGAAGAGCGGTGAGGAGTGGCGGAGCGATGCGTAAGTGCTCTCGCTTCCGCTAAACGACGAAGTTGCTCACGGCTATGCGTTTACTTGCAGGTATAGCGTCGTCTAAGGTCCCCTGCGTGTTGATGAATCGAACATGAGCTTCTGTTTGTATCATGAAATGTCCGTCCCTCAGTTCTGTAGCTTGAGTAAATATGTAGCAATAGGATACCATTTCTTTGAGTGCAACTTAGTAGTGTTTCACTCGTGCAATGAGATCGATGAATACTCTCTAAATCACTATGGTTGGGACGATTGTAGTCCTTGCTCAGCATCGAGATGGTCGTAAGATCTGGCAAAGTGCCGACGAATGCTGTGGCTTTGACGTCCATCCACATGGTAACAAACGATGAAATGTCTCCCGGATATCCAAAATACAGTCCTTAGGCGAGTACGTACAAGGAAAAGATACATTGTGCGCCATACACGTGGATAGGTAGGTAGTCCCTGGCCGGATTTCTATGCGGCCTCCATGTCCTCTCGACGGAAAATGTATTACATATGACAGGCATCCCGTTCAGGGGAAGGTCAACCGTTTAACACCTGCTGGGATTGCTCCTCGAATATTGTTGGAGGGGCTTCCACCCACGCCTGCGGAGAGTACCCAGGTCAGCGCATGTTAACCAGGGCGATGACGAGACGTACGAGGTGCTCAGGTGCGGTCTTAGCCAAACTCTTGAGGATATGCCCGATGCCATGTCCTTCGCAGGATTGCATCTGCGCTCCGACAAAGCGCCCGTTGCCATCCGGGAGGTGGAACACCGGTCCTGACACCTTACCCTATCGCACCATCCAGGCAACCAATCAGCACCCCGACTCAGCACACGCACACAAACCAGAGTACTCACACAGACGTCCGACCTTAACGTGCGCATCTCGCACAGCGTGCCCTCCTTGCACGCGCCCTCGCACGAGCCCCACACAAACTCGCGCCCGCGCGGCTTGTGCGCGATGTACATCTGGAACGCGCGGTCGTTCGTACGGAAGACTTCCGTGAGGTCGTGCCAGAATGCCGGGTTGAGCGGCGCGTCCGGGCGGTCGGAGAAGGAGGGAACCAGGGGACCGTAGGTCTCGCGGGCGCTGTAAAGGAGATGCCATTTGGCTGAAGAGGTGTGTGCGGTGAGTAAACTTGATGCCAGGTAAGGCTAGTGTAAGACGTACGATGCAGTTGATGCTCGGGGTCGAAAATACTAGCTGAAAAGCGCGCTCAATATCAGCGCTAACCCCCAATACTCACTGGATCGCTGCACATACTGTAGTACGTTTTCGCATCCATGATCTCGAACGTGTCTGGGTCAACATCGTACACTTTGAACGCCGGATTGCCGCCTGCGCCATGCACTCAGTATCCAATCCTGCTATCGGCACAGAAGCGAAGATCGATACGCACTCATAGGCGTCATAGCAGGCCCAATCATCGCCACACCGATCGCGTTCGCGGCCGTCCGCTCACTGTAGTTCGAGTACCCTATCGCGAATTCGTCCTACGCAAGGCACCCATGAACATGTGCCAATAGTGGCGAACATCAGAAGGTCGAACATACCGCGTGGGTATGCCCATAGAACTGCCCCACAATCGTGTTCTTGTACCGCTGGAGCACCTGGTCGAAATACACCGACTGTACGCGCAGGGCGAGGCATTAACAACTGATCAACACGTAAGACTCATCTCAGCTTACTTGGTCACGCATGACATCCCCTCTGCCTGGCGGCATGTGTGCGATGATCCATGCGCGCTCGCCCGCGTCCTCCGCCGCCTGCAGCTCCTCGACGAGGAAAGCGAGAATGCCGTTCGGGTCGGGCCTGCAGGGATCGAGCTGAGGTCGATCAGTGGGCATGAGGTGCGCGGACATACTGATGTTCATCGCTGTCGTACAGCCAGAAACTGACGAGAAAAAAATCGTTAAAACTGGCGGTTGAAGCAATCGTAGCGAGCAGCGCACTTCTGCTTGTACCAGTACTGCGTGTTAACCGAGATGATCCTATACAGAGCCGGATTCAGCATATATGCGCGTTCATTCGAGACTGGTGTCTTGCGCACCTGAGGTCCATGCTCGGCGCTACTGTCGAGTAGCTCCCGGAGTAATGTCGGATTTGTTCCGTGGCATTCGGGCCGATCCATTGCTACGCGTCCGTCCATCAACGAGAGGCGGAGGATGAAGCAGAAGGGATGCTCACACTCCAGCCAGCGCGTTGTGCGTTGAACACCCATTCGGCGGTGATCTCGTGCTCGGTCGTGTTCCGCGGGAAGCTGTTCGTCGGCGCGGACTCACTGCATGGCGCGTGGGTGGATGAGTAGCGAGCGAAGCGCATACATGATGTACATACTGGTTTCCTATACGCGAATGAGTGCGTTTGAGGACAATATGTGATGAAGGAACAGACTTACCTAGCGCGGGGAAGAGCGGCGCGCTGAGCTTCGTTGCCATCTGGTCGCTGAACACCTGCATGTCGCGCGAGACTCCGCTGCGTTACAAACTCAATACCCCCTTCTCGTAGCATGTAGCAAATAAGGCGACTCACTTCTCATCCACATCCCACACTGCGTCTACACTCCACCCATTTCCAGAGCCCACATCAGCTCACGCACATAATCAAATGCTCAGCACCCACGATCGATCACATCCCCGGTGAAGATCGAGAACTTCGCGCCTGCGCCAAAGTTTTCCGCGGCGTCGAGCATGGTGTCTGCAAGCACGCCCGGCGCATCGCACGTCCGCATACCGAACGGCAGCGCAGGGAGCTTGATGTGGGAAGGCGGTTCAGGGCCGAAAGTGCGGCAACAGAGGGGTTTGGTGCACTTCGATTCCGAATTCACCTGCAAGCGCGTGCGTCAGCTCAACATACCCACCCAATACCCTGGTATCCCTCCACCCACCTCATACTGCCGATCGATATGCATATCACTGAAATGCATCACGCGGAACGGCGGCCTGCCTCGCGAGACGAACTCCTTCGGGTGCTCCGGGGCGGGCTTGGGAAACGGAACGTCGTACGAATTCACGGGAGGCGGAGCGCACATGCCGAAGACGGCCTCGCAGAACTTGGTCGCAGTCTGCCTGCCGAGCGTGAAGTGGCGGAGGTCGTGCGCGAGGATGGGACCTTGCGTGCGGATCGCGCCCTCGCACACGTCGGAGTCTTCGATCTGGACTTAGGGTGAGCGGGAAGGTGAGATGTGTGCGGTGAGGTGGGGTGCGCACCTTCATGTCGATGCAGGCTGCAGTGATGGTCTGCACGAATCGTTCGTCGCCGAGGGCGGCAAGGGTCTTGAACGTCGGGAGGGCGGCATGGCACGTCCCGCAATCTCTCACAGTCGCGAGGGCCCGTTCCACTTGGTCCACCAGCCCGCACGCAACCAGAGATGGCAAGACGAGCGCAGTAAGCACAGAAGCACGGGTCCAAGCCATCGTGCAGTTGCTAGCGGTCGAAGTCTCAGCCAAGCAGGGCGCCCAGTACTTGACACTTGTTCAGAGCGGCCGGCGGTGCACGTACCGCTATCTCGTTGGCAACAACAGCCCCGATGTTGTGCGCAGTGATGGTGGCAGCCAGGCAACGGCGAGTGAGCGATCTATCGAGAATGAGACATGCTTTTCGGGTGAATTGTTAGCAGGATCATGGCGTCTGGTGCAGAGCCGCAGTCGCGTCGTGGGGCGCCGTAACTGGAGTGTTTCCCAGGTCGCCCTCCGAGAGTATTTCCCTCATTGGCTGCGATAGTGCGATCTCTCACAGTCCCATATATCCGAGGGAAAGTTCTCCTCGGAGATGAGTTCGAAGGGCTTGGGATTGATCCGAGTCGAGGCGGTTTGCAAGCCTGCGTGGACGCCGCGGATTCCATCTCGAGAGGATTTCTGTCCGAGCTTCAGGAGTTCTAGTCATCAAGCAGCACCAGACGAGCTACAGCCACATTACCGCCAGCTTCGTCGACCAAAGTGGCCGCATCTGGGTTAGCCCCCATGACTTGTCCTCGGCACCTTACAACCACTCATTGCTTTCGAATGGCGACTATCTTGATGACTGGCGTTTGAATTGTAATGATCAAATGTATCCTTTGGGAAGTCGAGCGAATCCCAGATTTCAATACTTTAACCGCAGCTACTTCGTTGGCTACTCACGATGCCACCCAACTCCGCTTTTGGATCATATCCGGGTATGCCCGACGAAGTGCATTCCTTCGGCGTCTCTGCCGTTTGTCAACATCCCGCAGGATACCGAAATTTACCGAGTTCCAAAGGTAGATTGTTCATAGAATCATTGCACTCTTCTTACTGGCACGCAGGGAGTCAGGCCTAGTCAGGACTGAGGAACGGGTACGATATTGTCCGAGGTGGAAGATCGCTGAGACCTGGAGCGCGCAGGCCTTGTCAACAGCGATGTCTATGCGTTCGTGAAGACATCAAACAAAGGTTTGAACGGTTTCTTATACGGGTCGCGGAAGCGGAACAGGACTCTGAACCAGTAAGTTCTGAGTGGCAGTGACCACGCACAGGGACAATCTGTACCTCCGTTTTGTCAGAGAATGCAATTTTTGTCGTGGTGCTGGCAGTTCCCTCCCCTCGGATTGCAGTTCGGTTGCAACTAAATTCTCGCTGTTCCTAGACATTTCGAAGACTTATCCGATACTGCACCAAAAACGGAGCCTCGGAAGCTTGGACGCACCGACGAACGTTTCGATTTCCAGAACGGTCGCGGCGACATGATCACCACAGTTTAGTAGCCGGGACTACCATAAGAGCTCATAAGAGACGTTTCCTGAATTATTGAAATTCGTGATACGGTTTTTAATCTGATGATGACACCAATGGAAGATCAGCGTCGATGCAACGGTCCTTTCCTTCTCCGGCCCGGTATCGAAATGGTCGTGTTGCGAAGATGGATCCGCTCACCGCGTTTATCGACAATTCTAAGGAAATCTACCCCATAGAACTGTTTTCCTGGTGTAGTGCGGCGATAATATGAGTGCGTACAGATAGGTGCTCCATGACGAACTTGCGTTGCAACTCACCATATCAGCTCAAAGTTCATCGTGACTCTGCCTCATGCCTACAAACCTTGTTCATATTATCCCCGGTCAGCTCGCAATGGCAGAGACAGGTCGGTACTGAGTCCTCAGCCCCGTTTCACCTGTCTGTTTCTGATTATGTACTTGTGAAGACAGGTCTCGGCCATCCGTGCATCTTTTACTCAATCGCCCGCATAATAGCTTGGCTGTCACGGCATGTGCAAGATGGGATTCTCATAGTATGACTCCTTCCTTTATTTGATGCTCCAATGCCCGGTCGACCTTTGCTACCGACACAGGGACTTCCCAGTTTATGTAGCCTCTATTCGGCGATTATCCGCATGTTCGAGGCTGGCATCACAGCTTCACCGTTAACAGTGGAATGGCCACCGTGTGTTCAAACGACGCGAGTCTGCTATTTGTAGAAATGGATCTTTGTGCCGACGAGATCCGACCCACGTCCTATAAATTGCAAGGGCATCCTTCACTCAGCCAAAGCCAAGAGACCGTTCTCAACCCATCATGTCTATTACCTGCGAAATCCAACAGTATGCGCTCAAGTTAACGTGCCGAGCTTGCACTGGCTCCCCCCTCTTCAGCTCAGATATGAACTCGCATTCATGCTCCAGCGAAGCTCTATACAAGGTCAGCGTGATAGCTCAGATCTGACATTGTTGGATATGGCTGAAACCCATGTCGTTGACCTCGCCAGATCATAGTCGCTACATCTCAGAAGGCCATCGTCGATCTCTTAAACAAGCTCGGAGTTCACTTCCCCGAATATAGTCGCGATCTTGAGCTCGAGGCCCACGTAAAGGCAGTCGTGCGACAATGGGAGCAAGGAAACATCATGGAACCGCTTGCTGCCAGTGCCCTCGTTCTCACCACGACCGCCTACAGCCATATCGCAAGTCTTGAAACCAAGCTACAGATCACCCTCTTCACGATCTTGATCGGCGCATTGGACGACCCGTCCGTCTTCGAGTCCCTGCCCTCGCGCGATTTCCATCGTCTCATGTGCGGCGGAACCGTCCGGAAAGAGGAGTCAGTTCTTGGTGCATTCGCTGAGCTTCTCTCCGATATGTGGGCACATTATCCCCTGTTCACAGCCAATACAATTTTCACATCTGCACTCCGCTTCATCAACGCGTCCATCGCGGAGAACGACTTCGCACAAGCGTCGCTGGGATCGTGTACGCTTCCGTTCGTGGAGTACAAGCGGAGCATGAGTGCGACCACAGAAGCATACGCCTGTTTTATATGGGACAAAACGAGCTTTCCTGACGTCAATGCATACATTGAAGCCATTCCGTGAGTTGTCATCGCCCCCAAAACTGCTATATGTGCCAACAACATTTTTCCGTTAGTGATATAATGCTCTACGTGAGCTATGTCAAGTGAATTGCGTTCAGCCAGAGTTCTGCGAAGTTGTGGTACTGATTATTTCCGACTTTCAGTGACATACTCTCTTTCTACAAGGAGGAGCTAGCAGGCGAGACGAGAAATTATATCCATGAACGAGCTTCTGCGACCGGCAAGACGACGGAAGAAACTCTCGCCGACGTCGTTTGTGACGTGGCTGATGCCGTCAAGCGCATCCACGACATCCTGGGTAAAGGGCCAGCCAGGGACGCCTGGGAGAATTTTGCGGCCGGATACATCACAGTACATACTCGTAGTCCACGGTACCGCTTGCAGGAAGTCATTGGAGAAAAGTATTTACTGGACATAAATACCTGCTGTTGAAGTTGAAGACGGGGTATTATTGGGTTTATATCTTTGATGTCATAGGTTATCGTACTTTTGAATATTGCCTGGACGCTTGCGTTTTGTCGGTCGATGAATGCGGCATGTCTTATGGGCTAAGTAATGGATTAGACTATTCATGACGGAATTGCAGCGCTTTCTGGCAGCTGCTTGCGGCATAAAGATCCCAAATTCGATCATCGTGCGTTGAGCAGGGCTTCGTCGTTTTTTTTAGTTCCTTTGAGCAGCAGACAACTGTCATAGCCACGTAGCCAACTGGAAGAGTATCCTAGGGTCCAATGTTCACCCTCAGTACTGGACGCTTTCAAAATCGCGCTGTCAGGTTCGAGATGAGTCCTCAGGCTCAACCACGCCCGGGCCGAATCTGGATTTTTATCCCGATTTTGACCAGATCGCCAGTTGATGCACAACTGATACTTGGGGGTGTTGGCGCTGCATCCGCCACGCCCTGTCCGAATGATCCCCGATGAGATGCAAAGACAGTTGCAGTCACACATGAGGATGAGAGTTGGTGGGAGGGCAATAGGAGTATTCATGCAAGAAGTGGACTAAAATATATTACAAATGGTATTGTTTACAGACAGACACATCGCATGGACCACTACTCACCCACAAGTTCTTCCTCCGAGCTGTTGGAATCTGGGCACGGAGCGCAGATGCGAGAGGCCCCGGTGCGACCTGCGCCACCGGCGTGGGAGAGTAGTAGCGCGCGTGTATATAATAGGGCGCGGCTATGGTGCGCGCCACCTAGTCACCGCTTCTTTTGTACAGTGGCCAATTTGGGCCATGGGCAGTGGTACTATACTGATAAACCCTACTATAGGGTTCCCCAACGGGCTGGCTTATCAGTTACATCGATCTGTATCCTATCGTATGAATAAAAATTAATACATCTGAGCCATTGATGCATGCCACGATCAACGAAGCAACAGAAGGCCTCTGCTGCTCATGCACGCAATGCGAAACTCGAGAAGCTGAGGAGTTCTAAACAATCCTCAGTTGCTGACCCAACACCGAGTGACAGTGATGACGTGGCAGGCTCAGACAATGATGCTGAGTGTACGAGCTGGACCGGTGGGGTATGCCATTTGCTGTCAGAGTCAGACTGCTATAGCAGTGATGATGACAGTTCTGCAGATGGGGATCTGTCTGAGCTGGAGGATGAAGATTTACGGAGAAGCCTACAGGCAGAGTCAGAGAGGATCCTTGCGCAGCAAGAATCTGATTCATTCAGAACTCTGATGAAGCATCATTCAAGAAAGGAATGGAAGAAGGCTGAGTCAAACCGCAAGTTGGGATACAATAAACAGTCGGCACGAACCCAGAGACGGAAAGAACAGCAAGCTCATGAAAAAGAAGAAATTGATAAGACAATGCGAAAGATGTATGTATTTGAATACCACTCACGATGGCTATAATAAATGCTGAGGTTGGCCAATGCACCAGTGCAGGCGCAAAGCTGATGCGAAATTTCTTTAAGGCGGCAACGGACCTCTCCGAGTCATCACAAAATGAACAGTGCAGTTCAAGAAGCACTGATCATGAAGAATCTAATGATGACATTCATTCAGCAGCCGTGCCAGCCTCAGATGAAATATTCAGAGGTTACCTCTCTGATGAGCCAGGTGCCAGTGATACAGACGACCCAGAGATAGAGGCCGCCAGGAAGCGAGATGGTAGCAACCTCCATCCTACTTCTCATGCAGATGACAACAGACGTGATAAAGCTGAGAAAACACTCACTGCCACTACGCGCAAGGTCCAAGACAGCACGACATCCTCGAGGACACGTCCGCGATCACCTTCATCCATGCATATCGTCACTCCCCCACCTCGCAAGCATGCAAAGCGCAATGTTCCTGCATGTGTGGTTCGTGCAAATGCACAGGAAGCACGCCATAAAGAGCGTGTGAAGGGTTTGAATGCGATTGAGAAGCTTGTCAACTCGAAACGATATCAGTTTGTTGCAGGCTTGAATGGTCTGCAGGCAAGCTGAGCTCGTTGCATCCAGAGTCATCTGCATATGGTTATTCATAACAAGCGCAGTGGGACAGAGGCATCGAAGCTTGCAGCAGAGAGTTATGGCTTTGCAGCAAACTGGGGTGGGAGACTGGTTCATGTTTGGGTGTGGAAATGGCTGGAGAGTCGCGAGCTTCCCGAGTCGATGAAAGGCAGGCATGTGAAATCTTACACCCTACTCGATGATCCGAATACATGCATGGAGCTTCGCCCATTCATGCGATCAAACAAGTGGTCCATGAATCCTGAGAAGCTGGCTGAATTCAGCAAGGGTCAGATGGTTCCTCAGGTCGCTGAACAATACCTCCGTCAATTGGTTCGCACCGAAATGCTGCAAGGGTTAAAGAAGTACATGGAACTTGAGTTATTTTCTCGCATCCATCTTAAAGTCAGCAAGGGGATCTCACTTCGTACAACTCTGTGTTGGCTTCATCAAGAGGGCTTTCACTATACTGTGCACAAGAAGGCACTGTATTATGATGGACACAAGCGACCGGATGTAGTCAAGTACCGCCAAGAAGTCTTCATACCAAACGTGGACCATATTCGGAGCCGTGTTGTGGAATACATTGTCAGGAATGTATCACAAGAGCTCATAAAGGAGCAGACGAATTATGTCGAATGCCAGGTGGTGCTTGTGTTTCAAGACGAGATGACAGCACAGGCTAATGATGGAAAAGCGAGAAGCTGGTTGCCCAAAGGAGAACAGCCACTGAAGAAAAAAGGTGTTGGTTGTGGCATGCACCAGAGCGATGTCATCTGCTCGACATTTGAATGGCTGGAAGAGGCAAGTCAGAGCCTGGAGTATGGGAAAGACTATGAAGGGTATTGGAACGGTGAGAAATTCGTTAAGCAGGTAAGCTGTAGTGACTCGTCAGACATTCTCAAACTGAGTCTGAACACGCTTGCAGATCAGGGAGAAAATTATCCCAGCATTTGAAAGAAAACACGGCCCTGGATTTCAAGCATGTATATTCGTCGATCACTCCCAAGGGCATTCTGCATATGCAGAAGATGCACTCCTTGTCTCATGCATGAACATGCAGCCTGGTGGTAAACAAGCCCACATGCGAGATGGCTGGTTCATTCGCAATGGTCAAAGATTCACTTAGCCGATGAATTTCTCACCCGATCATCCTAAATATCCTGACCAGCCAAAAGGCATAAAACATGTCCTTGCTGAGTGAGGCCTTTGGGCCAAAGGCCTTCTGATGAAATGCTGCGATGACAAATGTGACTCAGACAAAACCAATTGCTGTGCTCAGCGCATTCTGGAATTGCAGCCTGACTTCAAAAAGCAGCGCACCTTGGTTCAAGAAGTCATTGAAAATGCATGCCACATGTGCATCTTCTTGCCGAAATATCACTGTGAGCTCAATCCTATTGAGTTTTTCTGGGGTGCTGTCAAAAAATATTTGTGCGACAATTGCGATTACACATTCAAGACCCTTCAAGAGAATCTACCGAACGCACTCACCTCTGTTGATCTGTAGACAATCTGCAAATGGGAACATCGGATGTTTCGATGGCTGGATGCTTACAGGACTGGATAATCTGACTATTAAATTAGTAAGAAGCCAGCCCTAGTAGAAATTTATATAATTTTATTTGGATGTCAAGGATGCTCAGTTTCAAGTCAGAGCATTTAGTTCCATGAAGTATAAATCCCATCGACGTGTGCCGGAGACTGTAGCACACCAGCTTGATGTTCTGTAATTATCTTTGGTGTGTGAACTTACCACATATGGAATGTATCTTCCTAATATGGTAATATGTTCCCATCATTGGCCAATTTCAGAATCTCAACTTTCGCAATTTTGAGTTTCAGGAAAATCCGTCTGGGCAAAATCATTGCTACATAAATACAAGCATTTTCACCAGACAGATAATATTTTGGGCATGTTGGGAGGGAGTTAATTTTTTTGTACAAAAGAAGCGGTGACTAGGTGGCACGCACCATACAATGGGATGGGCCATCGATTTGGCCCCGTGGAGCCATCTTCTAGAGAGCGGACGACTTCCGAACTCCTGGCCACGCAGCAGGCTGGCTGGGAAAGTCAACACAAACTGATCACCATTGACCAAGAGGCACTCACCGCAATCGATGAGAACCACCACTACAAGGTTCCTGCTGGGGACCATGATGCTGACTGGTGAGTGATCCAGTTGGCAGGTCAAGGGCTGGGAGCTGGGGCAGGTCGCCGAGGTGTGAAGGCTGCAGGGCAGCTGAGGGACAGGTGCAACTGGGCAGAGGTGGGATCAGGAGGTTGAGGGCAGGAGGGTGAGGGCCAGAGGGTTGACCACGGGGTGCTGCTGTGGTGATACAAGACACCAGGTGCAGGGGGCAAGCACTGCACGAGGTGGGCCTACCAGCGAGGTAAGGGTGGAGCAGGATGTCAAAGGGTGGGCCGAGCAGATGCCGAGTGAGACAGGCCGGCAGTCTGACGAAGCAGCACAGCCACAGCATGTGGAGCACTGAAGAAAAGCTGAGCGAGGCGCTTGCACGGAGCGCACATGGAATGGAGACCAAGACCCGAATTCAAGGGGTGTAGGAACTGGCATGCAGACCGAGTGAGTGACGAGCGCATAGGGGCGCTATAGGAAGTCATCGAAAATGGGCACGTACGAGATGCATATGATATGGAGGCCAGGACCCAAGATCAGGGGTGCTGGGACTGGTGTACGGACTGAGGCGGGCAGGGAAGCACATGGAACGGAGATCGGCATCCCTGGGAACGGGGAGTGTGGTACAGGCGTGTGGCCCACAATGGGATTGATGCAGCAGTGGCTAGGTCAAGGGGACATGTTGGAATCTGGGCACAGAGCGCAGATGCGAGAGGCCCTGGTGCAACCTGCATCACCGGCGTGGGAGAGTAGTAGCGTGCGTGTATATAATAGGGCGTGGCTACAATGGGACGGGCCATTGGTTTGGCCCCGTGGAGCCATCTTCTAGAGAGCGGGCGACTCCCGAACTCCTGGCCGCACAACAGGCTGGCTGGGAAAGTCAACACAAGCAAGCCAATGGAGCTGGAATATATTACAAGTGGGGAAAGAAATGTATGTACAGCACATCGTCGGCGATGTGGAGAGTACAACTAATGTTTGCGAGAAATAAATATGTATACCATCTGCGAACTGCATCCCTGGAATTCACAAATGGGTGACACGGTGCATTGGGTGTATGCCTCATGCAAGAGACTGACACGGAGTCCATCAGCAAAAAGCGCGTGCCAATATATTGCATTGTGTGCGATTGTGACCGTAAACGAGATGGCATGGATTTAACAAGGTTTGCAATCAGTTGCATTGCCAAGCAATAACACACCATGTAGGTGATGGATTGTATTTAGTCACCGGAAGGTATGAGGAGTTGTATGCAAATGCAAATCATCGCCAATATTTTATGTCAATTTATTGACAATATAATTCCAGACATACGTACAACTGTCAGAATATAATTCAGTTAATTATCCACTGCCGCAGACACATCAAGCGATGCATGAATGTGGTTCAAGACAGTGACTTGGACTTGATACCAGATACAATGCATGAATAAGATGAAGCTGTAGAAACTCATCCACATGACAGAAAAGACCTCTGCTATTTTCCAGAAATTACTTTAAGCTCTTTATCTTCATGGTCACTTATGCAATTATGCAGCCGTCATGTCTCCCATCACAGCATCTTGGATTAGCATCACGTGCACAACACATTAGGAAGGCATTGCACCATAGATGGTAAGTCGTCAAGTGACATCACTGCTCAGAGATTCAAGCTCCGATGCACATCCTTTATATGAACGTGTCACTTACATCTCCAGGTTACCTTTCTTTGTGTTCTTCCCTCTTCCGTCTGTATCGACAACTCTTCCACACAGACAAGCATTCAGCGGCAATGCTAAGGGTCGATGCAGTGAGCTTTGGTACTCGTTGCGGGATAGCTCACAGGCGGACTATATGTGCTAACATACTGGTTCTCAAAGTGAAGTTCGAGCCCAGTGCGAGGAATGAATGCTGAGTGCTGAATGCCTGAGCATGCATATTAAGCAAACAGATGAGGAAAGAGACATGCTAGGATGCGCTGCACTTTCGTACGGCATCGCATCTCTTCTCCTCGTCATCGTCTCGCTATCTGCTCGTCCTTGTTTTTCTCGTCAAATCTTTTGTCTCACACCCTCTGTGCTCATCCCTAACAACAAGACCCAAGGAGTTCTTGGCCAGATGCTCCAATGAAAGCTATCAAGCTTGAAAACGAGAAGCGCAATGTATGCAATGCATCTAGAGCAGATTGGTCTGACCAAAAGCCTCGTACGCACTTTCTTTTCCGGGCGATTCGTTGCACTCATGGAGTCTCATGTGACACAGACTCGTTCCTCTCCGGCTCAAGATTAAGTTCTGTGAGCGTGCATTCAACCTGTGTGCCCTCATGGCATCGCTGCGTGCATCACCCGAGGTGCTCTCCGAGAGCACGATCCTGTGCAAATTGTGCGCGAAGGAGGACTGATCGAAGAGATGTACATGATCATGGCTGTGACATTCAGCGTGTCACTGAAGGCGGGCAACAAATTCGGGTGGGACTTACACTGCATATCATGCCAAATATCCATGAAAGGATATTGCAGGAACATTCCGGATTTTCTGGCAATATCCTTCAAGGATATCGCCCGAATATTCAAAAGGATATTGCCAGGATTTGACAGAAATCCATGCGATGTTTTGGCAATATCCAGCCAGATATCCTTGCAATGTTCATTCAAGGATATTGCCTGCCCCTTCCCCCTCCCCCTCCTTGTGGCTTTTTACTGCACAAAGTACCAGTACAATTATCATGTATTGGAGCATTGTAAAGTAGTTACATTTCAGCAGATCCAATATATAATGTAATTAGAGGCCATGCACTACAAGGTGAATCATTTTGAGTGCTCACACAATAAAGGAAGAGAGGAGTGCTTACTATGGGTATCTGATGACGGAGAAGTTGATGGCATGTCGATTTAGACTTTTTGATGTGCATGTTGCCTGACAAGAATAGATTGAATCAGTGCAGCTCGCATCAGGAACAACTTAGAGAAGAAGCACGAATTTTTGGCTGCACCCCTTCGCACTGCCTCGCAACTCGTCTTCACCTTCAGATACATGCCAATGGCACTGTTGCAGCAAAAACCACCCATCGCAAAGGGGAAGAACATTGATCGCCCATGCTCACCTCATAGAAATGCTGCTAAACGCCCTCGACATGCTACTTCTCCTGCATCATCTCTCGCTGAGAGAATCACACTTGCACGTCCAGCAAGCTCGCCATCGAGAATGTTGATCTCCGCTGTACCACATGGTCCATGCTACTTCAATGACCCATTCCGGAGGTCAGGCGGCACTCAGACGGCCAACATTGCGTCTGCTTCAAGAAGTCAGTGGACCCCTGGTGCCGGCTCATCTTCAGTTCACACCGCTATGATTGCACCACCAACACAAGTCACGGGCAAAACTATGTCAGACTTGTTCAAAAGACTTGATAAAGACTTACAGAAAGCAAAAGAAGGTCTTGCATTCCACGACAAGAACTACGACAAGCTCAGGGAGCAACTTGACCTGTCACACAAAGCTGTCAACAGATGGGGAGATGACATGGAGAAGTTGCAGAGATATGTGAGGAGTATGGTTCTGAACCAGGAGCAGGCTGTCCAGCACATCTCTGCCTTAGAAGGAGAGTGCGACGAGCTGCGAAAGGAACTATATGAGATGAGGCAGTTTCTTGGGAGTAACAGATTCATTAAGGAGCTGAATGAGATGGATGAACATACGAGTGATGTGGCACAGAATGAACAATCTGAAGTGCATCCCAAATCACGCAAGAAGAGGTGTGATAATCCTCTGCATGTGAGCATAATGATAGCATCTCTGACAGGCAGCAGTTAACGAAATGATTACTTATAGGCAGTGGTACGCAATGTGTTGCAGCACCTAATGGGGATAGATAGCAAGACAGCTCCACACGCACCACTTGGCCAAGGACAATTCTGGACTGATGACAAAAATGAGGACGAGCGCCTGCTTAGACTGACCTGGGAAACCTGGCAGGAAAACGATGTCGTGTGGGGGAGGATGGTTGCGAAGAAGATATGGGCTGATGGAAGTAGATGGAGCAATGCATTATCGGCAAAGGAGTTGCAGAAGCTTTCATTAGCTGAGATTGAGAATGCAATGCAGGTCTTCTGGAAGACGATGAGGGTGAAATTCTGAGCTTCTCAGAACGCTCTACAGGATCAAGAGTCGAAGAAGGTCACCCGACAACAGACTGGCCGCAAGCTGATGGTACAACTCACACGTACTATCATTTGCATGGCATGATGATACTGATTCTGTGATCCAATTAACAGAAAGCAAAGGAACAGATGAACTATCGCAAAAACATACCTGAACTATCAGGGAAAGAATATGACTTCATCTTCAATTGGAAGTATCAGTCAACGGATGAATCAGATGATGACGATGAAGAAACGGGACCTATTGATGCAGATACATCAGGAGACGACACAGCACAGGACAAGCCAAGCAGCAAGCAATGTCCGTAGATCTCATGTCCTCCTGAGTACCATGCAAAGCACGTAAGTATTTTCTTTACACTGTGGAATGATAGCTGTACACGTTTACCATCACCATCAATATGTATATTGAGGATCTGCTTGCTAAAGTTGACAAGATGATCTTTAAAGCACGTGGTAGCAAGAAGGATCGCACCCAGGAAAACAGCTTTCATGGAAGAATCTGCAGTCCAGTTTGCATTGTAGATGAGCTGCCAAGGCCCCCTCAAGAAAGGGCTGGTGATACCACAGAGCATGATTGATCTGGAATGGCTTTCCAGGCATGAGGATTACACTTATCCCACACTCAGGATCCAAGAGGGTGATGATGATCAGGCACAGCGCAGTGATGATGATCAGCAGATCAGAGATAATCACAGTGCTGAGCAAGAATGAATATCTCAGAGGGCAGAGAATGAGTCAGATGAGGCAGAGGGAGCATCAGGGAGAGCTAAAGGTTCAGAGGATCCAGAGGAGTCACAGAACAAGGAAAATAACAGCAGAGAGCAGAACAAAATGGAGCCTGGGTACGCTCTGCATGCATGCCAGTGGGATGATGATGTGATTGACTTTGACCATGACTTCGAAGTCCTGGGACCATCTACGTGAGTCAGAATCCCACACGTTTCTTGCAGTCAATGTACTTGCATGCTACGTACCGAATTAGTGTCCATTGTAATGTGCTTCTTCATCTCCAATATTGTCATTGTAGTTTTTCAGAAGAATATCTGGTTCTTGAGCATCCTAGTATACAAGTTAGCCAGCAAACGACACAGTTTTAGATGTATAGATGCGAATACATGAAAAAGTGACATTGTTACCCATAGAGGCATTCGTTGCTTCATAACTGTTGCAAATGCGAAATGGCCAGAGAAATGGCTGAGAGGAATGAGCTCAGTGGTCCCAGCCTGTCGGCAAGCCATGTACCGATTCCAAGATCCATAGCTCTGCATTGTAAAATAAGAACTGGTAGACTCAGAATGATGACATGTACTGCAATTCCCAGGGCATCTCAGGAACAGAATCATCTCTCATGAATCGTTGAACGATTGCACAGGCATGTTCAAGCCATGGCAGCATGTGATCGTGCCTGATATGCTCAACGTAAAGAATATAGTTGATCCTCACTGGCTGCTGTCCATCAATGTACAGTGACCCACAAAACTGTTGATAAGATTGCTCACTTCAACTTGTATAGTGAATATCTCCTCAACCAATGGGTCAACTACATTGTATAAAAATCATTGGAAAGCGTATCATCATGGCTTTCTAATGCAGTTTTAATTATATTTTTATAATATTTTGATCCCAAGATATTTACTAATCTTTGAGGGTCACTCTTATCAACAGTTTTGTGGCACACACACAAGTTCTCAGAAAATTGTGATTCTTGATGTGTTGACAGGGTTCTTTGTGGAAATATTAATTGATGTTCATGTTTCAACATGAACAATGTACAAACAGCCATACATAACTCTTCACACTCAACCAACATCATGCCAAAAGCTGTTGCTACTGAAACTGTCAACCATGTCATCGCTTTGCTTCAGAATGGCAAATCTCTTCGAGAAATTGAAGCTTTGACTGGTCTACACTACTCTACCATCAGTAAACTACACTCCACACACTGTCCCACCATTTCTAAGGCCAAAGGAGGACAACCTTCCCTTCTTTCTACTGCCAATCTTCGCTATGCTACTTGACTTATTGGGACTGGCAAGGCTACCACATCTCCTGCTGTGGCCAGATTTCTTGGAGATGTTACTGGGAGGGTTGTCAATGCAGAGACAGTGTGAAGATGGTTGAAGAAGGCAGGAATGAAGGCTGTAGTAAAGCGCAAAAGGCCTTTACTCGCTGCAAGGCATTGAAAGGAGAGGATGGACTTCGCTTTGGCTCACCAATATTGGACTGTGGAGGACTGGAGAAGGG